TCTCTTTGTCTACTTTCAGGATTTGTGTGAAAATCTAATTATGTTTTGGGTCATATTTATGCAGAAATATAGAAAATTCTAAAGGGTTCACAAACTTTCAAGCAGGTCTGTCTAAAATTATAATTAAATAATTAATTCTATTTAATTTGTATTTTTAATTTACCTATTATTTTATTATTTAATGTACTTCATTTTTTTTATTCTTTATTTTGACTGGAGAAAAAAAAGTCACGTTTCATTGCTTGCAACAAATATATTAATGGCTGGTATATTTTCTCATTGGCATATGTGGCAAAAAGTTAATTCTGGTGCTGTGAATTAGTCAACCTACTGTCAAATGTTTTTGGTCTCATGCTGGTCTCAATCATGTCTCTTCACAGAAGTTTCACGAGTATCTGGAGGGCAGCAATCTCATCACTAAGCTTCAGGCAAAGCATGATCTACTGAAGAGGACCCTCGGTGATGGTATTGTGTGCTTTTCTTTGTTCCTTCCAACAGAGGGTCAGCACTTTGAACTGAAAACACACAATGATGGAGATAATTTCTAACACATTTGGATCATAATCCTCTTGGCCAGTAGAAACCAGCAGGAAGCTGCTCACGACACACAATAGTGCTTATGTGGGTGATGCAACCTCATATTAACTTCATATTAATTAAATGTGATAGTATGGAGGATTATAATTCCCGCATCGAGTATAAATCTGCTCATCATGTTGCCTCTTCATGTTTTGGAGCCCGGGGCATTTCAGTTTTGTGTTGTGAACACCGCAGACTCTGCTGTCAGGGGCCGCTAAGTGAACGCTGTGTGGGTGGGATCAACAAAGCTGTCAGGAACCATGTTCCCTGGCCTAAAATCAACCGTGTCTGTTTTTTAAAGATTGTAGGCTGTAGTCTGCCTGCTGCATACTGACACTTGGATAAAATATTTTTTATAGCTAAACAGGTACCTGTAGCTCAAGCATAGAAATGTAGAATTTTTCTTCAAAATGTACCAATGTCCTAAAGGTGTATGTGGGGATGTCCAGTTCCAGACAGATGGCTGGCTGCATGTGCTTTACTGAGCATAAACGAAAGCCTCCCCTGGGCCTCTAAAGAACTCTGTTCTCATATTCTCTCTCTCTCTCTCTCTCTCTCTCTCTCTCTCTCTCTC